AAAAAAAAAAAAAAAAAAAAAACAGAGCTCTTGGTTTTGTTGGGTTACCTGAAAAGTGATAGAGGAAAGGGCATTTGTTCTAAACACAGTGGTCTTGGAATTGGGCAGCCATGCATGGATCATACAAGCCAGCGATTCCCACTGGTTCAAGCTCAACGAATCCCCCACGAACATGATCTTCTTCCCTCTCCATTTCTCCAAGAACCTCACCCCATTAAACCTGCAATTCACACAACAACCCCCAAACCTTAATCGCTTCAAAAATCCCCCACCGGATTACATGTCGTCGTTTTATGTTCTTACCTGGGGAGGGCGCAGGCGGTTGGCTGCCACCGATACTTGAGGTACGACTTGTCGGGACGGCCGTACTTCTGGCAATTGAACTGTGGATCTACAAAGGGGCAAGTGGAGGCGTCGTACAGAGGGTAAGAAGAGTCGAAAACCCATTTCCCTTGGTACAGGTTGCAGCTTCCGGCTAGGTTTCCGGCGACGGCGTCGAGGGTAGTGTTGGAAATTTGTGCATTTGTTTGGTGGAGGAAAATGGAGAGGGCTAGAATCGCAGCTGGGAATAAGAAACCCATTGCTCTGTTCTTGGGCTGCGATCCCCTGCTGCACCCTGCAATTTTCCTTCTTTGCCCTTTTTGGAGCTTAAAGAAGTGAGGGACTGTGTGAAATCTTGTCTTAACCATCTGCTTTATATAATATCAAAAGGAGAGAGACAGAGAAGAACACCAAATTTAAACCATGCTTGCTTTCCCATGGGATCCACTTTTTTTTTTCCTTTTTTTTTTTTTCAAGTCTAATAAACTTTGAGCTCAAATCGAACCTTTGACTTTTTGATAAGTGTTTCCACGGTCGATCCGAATACACTCGCTAATGATTCATACCCAGAATTTAAAATTTAGATTCGACACCTAATGCTCGATGAACTTATCGTTCGACTGTAACAACTGTAACATGACCACGTTACCTACTTGACTTAAACGTATGAAAAAAGACTATCCTCGCAAATAAATGTAGACCCGTTTAGAGTATTTTATCCTTGTTCACTTGATTCACACGTCTTTAGAGTTTTTATGATTAAACCACTGAAAATGAAGAGCTAAGATCGATCGTATATCATTTTTGTGATGTCCTATATTGGTTGGGGAGGAGAACAAATCACCATTTATAAGGGTGTGGAAACTCCCCTAGTAGACGCATTTTAAAGCTTTGAGGGGAAGCTCGAAAGAGAAAGCCCAAATAGGACAATATTTGCTAGCGGTGGATCTGGGGCATTACAAATGATATCAGAGCCAGACACCGGACAATGTGCCAGCTTGGAGCGTTACAAATGGTATCAGAGCCAGATACTGGATGATGTGTCAGCCTTCTCAGTCTTCCCTAAAGAGGGGTAGACACGAGGCGGTGTGCCAGTAAAGACGTTGGGCCTCAAAGGGGATGGATTTGGGGGTGGTTCCACAACGATCGGAGGAAGGTAAGAGTGTCAGCGAGGACACTAAGCCCCAAACGGAGTGGATTGTGATGTCCCACATTGCTAGCCTTGGATCTAAGGCGTTACAATTTTAAGATATTTTATCTTCGTACAGAAGACCACTAAAATATTTTTTTTAAAAGAAAAGGAAAACAAACAAAAAAGGAACAGCATCATCAGACTATGATCAAAATAGAATTTAGAATTATTATAAATAAAAATAACTTTTATAAAAAGGATTCTTTTTCATTTACCTTTATGCTCTGTTAACTTTATAATATTCCTACATAAAGTCCTTTTCTTTTCATTTACTAATTACTATATAGTTTTTTCATATTGAAAATTTCTCATTTAATAAGAATTCATTTTTCTTTTTAAGCTGAGAGAGAAAATAAAACTATACTGTAAATTTATAATATATACTATTTTCTATTATTGATGATAATTTTTTTTAAATAGGTTTGGTCCATCTTCTACACGTTAAAAGAAACATCCTGTTACTTCTTTAATGTCGTGGGCCCATCTCAGCCAATCAAATCTGAGCTGCTAACATCGCATTTATATCAACCTACAAAATAAAATAAAAATTATATAATATATATATATATATACAATCGGGTATAGGAGAGATATATATCAATGAACAGACCACGCATAAATAAGCGTGATTTTAAATATTTAAAAGAATTGAAAATCACTACATATATTAACAAGGTACACATTCATTTTCAATGACCCAACCATAAAATCACCATAGTGAAGTGTGCTGCTCGGAGTAATTTTATTTTGGGTGTCCTATTGAAATTTTTTCTAGGATACATATGAACAAGGACTCGTGTTGGTTTTATAGGGATAGTGTTCGCTTGTAAAAAATGAGGGGTAGATAACGTGATCATGTCGCAGTGCCAAACCCAGATTTTGAATCCCGAACATAGAGCCTCTCTAAAAACCAAACTCTCAATTGATTATATAGAATATTTTCTTTTCGATTAATGATAACTATATAACGACAACAACAACTGCAATTATTTCATCCCACCAAAATTAAAGTCCAAATGTAATAACTTACAAGCAAAGCTATATATATAAGAAAAATTAAACATGATGTGATTAAATATTATGCAAAAAGTTACAGGTGGGTCGTATTTATAGTTTATCGGTATATAATCGATTTCTTAAATTATTATTTAAACAGGATTCTCTTCAAATTTATCGTAAAATTTAAAATAATAAAATATTTTATTAAATAGAAAGTAGTGTATGTCTCATTCAATTTAAATTGGGAAAGAAAATGAAATGAATAATATGGAAATAGGTGGAAGTCCAAGAATGAGTTGTCAGTGTAATGAATGACTTCTCAAGTCAATTGCTTGCCCAAACAAAAGTCCTTTGGTATAACAAATAATAATTAATAATCCATTGTCTTATTATATGCCAAATTTTTTTTTAAATTTAATAAATTATAGCATTTTATTATAAAAAAAATAAGAATATTCCCTCATGGGCTACCCTTTTTTTAATATTATTTTTTTTAACTCGTCAAAAATTAAGTTTATAAACACTATATTTACCCGCTCGTTTATTTATTTTATTATATACTTTTAAAAAATAACCCAAAATTTAAAAATAAATAAATATATATATATATATATATAGTTGTGGCCCTGGTTTGATAAGGATTCTATGTCGTTTTGGTTTAAGATTGGGGTGTTGATGACAGTCCCAAAGGTGGTGGGAGCATATGGTAAAATGAAAATGACATACATTTTTAATCCTTTCACATGTCCACTACTTTATATGTCTTTATTTTTGTTAATTCATGGATGATATTTATCCATAATGAACCCTCACATGCATGTAACAAACACATATTCAACTTCTTCATCATTATCACGACCTACGTCATGTATTACGACTCATTAAATAATTTACACTATATATGCATCGTCATCATTTTGAAGTCTAAACGTGCGGGATGTCATGCTTTTATATTTGAAATTAAAAACTAACGGGAAAAGCTAGTAGTATACGAGTGTACAAACAAGCACTGATAGGAAAAACCGAGCGATAGACGATATACCGATGTTTATCGAGATACCCTTTTTGAGTTTAGCTTCTAGAATATAGATGAACTATGAAGACTAGAAGGAAAAGAAAAGAGACGTTGTTTACCGTGAAAGCAGTAATAGTCCAAAATCAGCTTCTAGCAGTATTGTCGAATGATTTGTCGTATATCTGAATATTTAAAAAATATGTAGCGAATAAAAAATTGGATATAGGAAATGATTGAAGCAATAATACAGAATGAATCTTCATGGAAGTTGTCACCTCTTTGTCCATATTTAATCTCAGCCGTTGGTTTTTGCTCTAATTTCGAAATTAATTAATAAATTTAATAAATAAAGATAAAATCATAATAGATGAAATAATTGCCACATGCCATTTAATAGAAGCCTCAATATTCGGAGTTAAAAAACTGTTTTTTTCTATATTTAAATAAATTTTTGTCTCTCCCAATCAAAACATATCATAAATATATAAATATATTTTAATTATTTTTGCTAAAGATTTCATGTATATATCAAGAAAGAGTAAATTATTATAATTACTTTATTTATTATTATTTAAAAAAAAAAAAAAATTTGTACGTCCTATTCTATTATAGCCTTAAATATAATATATTAGTTTTGCTATAATATAACGAAGATTTCTAATATTTAAAATTTATTGAAATAATAAATAAGTATTTTATTATTTTTGAATGAACTCGTAAATGTAGATCAGTGATATTTTTGACTAATTTAAAAAATATTAACGATTTTTATTTAAAATTAACGACAGGTTGTGGATGATTTATGAAAAGTATGAACAGACTGTGATCGTCGCTCGACGGGGTGTGGTGATTGGTGTGGGGAGCCCCCACCCATCCGGCAGCCGCCACGCTTGGAAGTTGGATCAGCACAACCACAAGACAAGTTGGTAAAAGGACAACAAATAATACCATAATTCATGATTCATCATGTTTCTATTCTGTTTTATGTAGTTTCGTTAAGGGCACGTTTGTTTGTGGGGTTCCAAATTCCATTATTTTCTAACCAAAAAAAAAGCAATCAATCATTTTTAATTGCAATTCAATCCATTAACATTTTCAAAATTTTATAATAACGGTCGTTAATTTACAAAATTAATCTTATAAATACTACTTTTCATTTATCCAGATGAGATGAACGACATATGGGCTCATACTCAATGACATGACTGAGTGAGTTGCAATAACGGACGACACCTCCTAAATTTAGATGGTGTCAAGACATATGAGCCATGTTGATTGAGAACCAAGATGACACGATGAGAGGTGACGTTGAATTGAGAGACCTTGGTTTAAAGTAGAGGCAAGATTGAGCCGAATGACTTGATATAGTGTAGAGACAAGCCAATTGAATATGCATGCGCATGCAACTCGTATAGTTGAACAAGCTTAGATTCTGCACTCAGAGACAAATGGGGGCCATAATGAGATAGTGGGAAAATTGTGTATGTGCAAATGGGTGGGTCCCACCATAAGAAACAGAGCCATTTGAAAGTCTTATCCGGAAAGTTCCCTTTTCGGCGTCTGGTGGAAAAAAAGAAACAAAGGGGGAAGAATATTGAATCTTTAAAGTCAAGTTTAATAATTAACAAATTAAAAGAAAAGAAAAAAAAACATTTAATTGGGCCAAGTGGGCCATAGTTGCCTACCAAAAGTCCGGCCCAGTGGCATTGATTGTAGTGAAAGTTGCCTTCTAAGAAATGTTTTATTCCTCATCATTTACGTTAAACACGTCATTAACCATTAAATCTCTAATTATTAATATAATATCGCCAAATAATAATAAATTATACCTTTTTTTTAATATTATACATTTTAATCGGTTGAGCATTTTTGTAACCGTCCAAGTCTACTACTAGTAGATATTGTCCTTCCACACCCTTCCCTCTCCAACCAATGCGGGATCTCATGATCCACCCCCTTCAGAGCCTAACGTCCTTGCTGGCACACTGTTTGACTCTGATACCATTTGTGACAGCCCAAACCCCACCAGTAGTACATATTGTCTGCTTTAGCCCATTACGTATCGTCGTCAGCCTCACGGTTTTAATACGTGTCTATTAGGGAGAGGTTTGGTTAAGAACCGAGAAGCAAAAGCAAACTCAAATCTTGGAAAACTATGCACAAACATTCATTATAAGCAAATGAATTAAAGTAACATTGTTTTAGGATGTAATTAACTATGATACACTCACAGGATACCACTTTTATATAAGACAACAGATAATGCTTCTGATATTTGTTCTTATGGATTTCTCACCTTAGCAATTTACATACTGTTCATTCAAGAATGTCGATTCCGAGCTTAGAGAAGCTGCCAATCGTGTTCCGAGACGTCTCCGGCCGGTAGTTTCTGTTCGTGTTGCTGGTTTGGGATGGTAGTGAAGCCATAGCCATGCTTCACTGCAAGCTCTTTGTATTCTTGCTTCCTCCTTGACTTCTTTGTGAAAGAAAATGCTCCGGTTATCTTCTTCTTGGGGAAAAGTAGACGACTCAGTGAAAGATGAATGAGATTGAACTAACTGGACAATCCTGCAAGTCGGAGTTGGATTATGTTACGAGGAGAGTGCGAATAGAGTACCTTGTAATGTTTGTGTTTGAGTTGTTCGTTGGAATCGAAATGAACGTCGTCTCCGTTCACTAAGACGCATGCTTCTTCGTCCAGATTTGTTTCATCAGCTGGTTGAATGTTGTGTGTTACATGTTCAAGCTCAAGTTCATCAAGACTCCAAGAATGTGATCTTGCTGTGTAAAATACAATTCAAACCATGTTTATCAGCTCACTACAATGAAATTATTCACCGGACAGTTGCATGGCTCTTGTTTTGAGGGGCTAAAGTGCACCAGCAAGCTAAAAACAGAGGCAAGAAAAGCTCAAGAGAGGTGATCATGGGGGTGGTCTGGTTGGCCTAAGTCTATGAGTTTATCAGCATCAGTTGACTACAACCCGCTTCAAGAGTGTGAGATTCCACATCAGTTGGAGAAAGAAACGAAACATTTCTTATAAGGGTGTGGAAACATCTCCCTAGTAGATGTGTTTTAAAACTGTGAGACTGATTGTGATAGGGCCAAAATAGACAATACCTGTTAGTTGTAGGCTTGGACTGTTACAAATGGTATAAGAGCCAGACACCGAGTAGTGTGCCGTGAGGACGCTGGGCTGCTAAAGGAGTGGATTGTGAGATTAAGAGCCAGACACCGAGTAGTGTGCCAGTGAGGACGCTGGGCTGCTAAAGGGAGTGGATTGTGAGATCCCACGTTGGTTGGAGAGGAGAATGAAACATTTCTTATAAAGGTGTGGAAACCTCTCCCTAGTAGACGCGTTTCAGAATTGTGAGGCTGACGGTGATACGTAATGGAACAACGTAGACAATATATGCTAGCAATAGGCTTGGGCTGTTACAAATGATATTAGAGCCAGACACTGAGTGGTGTGCCAGTGAGAACGCTGGGCCCCAGAGGGAGTGGATTGTGAGATCCTACATCGGTTGGAGAGAGAGATGAAACATTTCTTATAAGGGTGTGGAAACCTCTCTCTAGTAGACGCATTTCAGAACTGTGAGGCTGACGACGATACGTAACGGAGCAAAGTAGATAATATATGCTAGCGATAGGCTTGGGCTGTTACAAATGATATTAGAGCCAAACACCGAGTGGTGTGCCAATGAGAACGCTGGCCCCCAAAGAGAGTGGATTGTGAGATCCTACATCGGTTGGAGAGGGGAACAAAGCATTTCTTATAAGGGTGTGGAAACCTCTCCCTATAGACGCGTTTTAAAACTGTGAGGCTGATGGCAATACGTGATGGGCCAAAGTGAACAATATCTACCAACTGTGGGCTTGGGCTATTACAAATGGTATCAGAGCCAAACACCTAGCAGTGTGCCAGCAAGGACGCTGGCCCCCCAAAGGGGGTAGACTGTGAAATCCCACATTGGTTGGAGAGGGGAACGAAACATTCCTTACAAGGGTGTGGAAACCTCTCCTTAGTAGACGCGTTTTAAAATCATAAAGCTGACAGTGATACGTAACGGACCAAAACGGACAATATCTGCTAGCAGTGGACTTAGACTATTACAAGAAGTTTCCCCGAAAACACCCAACATCCACTAATCTACTACACATCCCTATTCGAAAAGGATCATCTCACTCTAACTGACCCATAAATGGTTGAAACATCTCCAGCAGCCAAACAAGTGCAAGAGAAAGTATGACATGAAAAGGCTGAAACATACCATCTAACTCTGCTGATGAATCGCCACAAGATAGAAGTCTTGTCTCCTCAGCATCCACAATGAAATTTGATGAAACATCATATAATAAGTCATCAGATTTCGTCTCGGTCTCATTCGAACTTTGCATCGCTGAATTAAACCTCGTGCCTTTAACCGACATGGTTGTTTCCATATTACCAGCCAGCTCGCTCGAAGCTTCAGATTTTCGATTAGAGATTGCACAGCATGATGATGCATCATTTGCATATTTCTTCTCGGACTTGCATCCTTTTGTCGTAGAGTCTCGACCATCGAGGTCTAGCTTAAGATGTATTTTGTCATCATCCTTTTCTCTGGAACACACATCCATTTGGGCTCTAGTAGCAGAATATGGAGAAGATACCAAATCGGGATTATTGGCACGGTTCGGTCCACGTGGCAGCTGATGTACAATATCTCGTATGGTATCAGCAGTTCCTCTCGAGTTCTCAGTTGATTTTGAACGCTCTATCTTCATACCGACCATTGGTTTCTTACATATAACGACGTTTTCGTAGTTGTCAAGAGCTGAATTACAAACTGCCACCTTCTCATCACTCAATTCAGATTGGGGAAGCAAATCTTGCATAACATCAGAATAGAACCTTTTGACACTTGCCCCAACAACTTCCACCTGATTCTCGACATATTTAGCAGTGTCCTGTCTCAAGATAAGGAGAAAAGGGTAGACCAAGTTAATGGAAGAGTGACATCTAAGACACGAAACAAATCGAAATTAAACATTTAGACGACTCGGACAAGGAACGAGTCAGTTAGGTACGGGAACCAGAGGCGAAGGAGTAGACAGCTGAATCAAAATGCCCACCTGACATATAATGTCTTCGACCTCGAGGCACATAGTTTCGAACTTTTCATACAAACGCCCGACCCAAGCAATGCCTTTTACATCCATTTCGATTTAGATGATGCTACTCTCGTCTGCAAGGTGCAACATACTTGTCGAATATAAGATCGTGCGAGTAAACAAAGATTATATTCGATAAAAAAAATTTTGATTAATGAAACAAGAATCAGGAGCAACAAGCAAAAATGGAGTCATTGTTGCTGCAATGCTCCCACATTTGGTTCTGAAGATCAAGAGTAGTAAGCAATGCTAAAAGTGCACGATTAAAGGTTTAAGATAGACGCGATCGTCTTAGTTCCGTTTGGAGAATAGAGAGACCGGATCATCTGAGACTCGAAGGCATAGCATCTAGCAAAAGTAGTAGTATGATATAGATCAAATGTTCTACTAGAACAAATTGTAATTGCCTCATTATCATACCAAATCAAATGCAAGCCGAAGCCTGCTTAGGCAACTATCTTTTAATGAGCATTTAGGGATGATCTTTCCATATCATACAAGAGATACTCTCATATTGGCATAAAAGATTACCTATTTGATGAGAGAAACCCTTTAATGAACCCACTATTGTCATATACTGTGAGATCCCACGTCGGCTCGGGAGAAAAATCAAGCATTCTTTATAAGGGTGTGGAAATCTCTCCCTAATAGACACGTTTTAAAAAAACTTGAGAGGAAGCCCAAAAAGGACAAATATCTGCTAGCAGTGGACTTGGACTGTTACAAATGGTATCGGAGCCGGGCACATGGCAATGTGCCAGTGAGGAGGCTGAGCCCTGAAGGGGGTGGATACGAGGTGGTGTGTCAGCAAGTACGCTGGCCCCGAAGGGGAGTGAATTGTGAGATCCCACATCGGTTGGAGAGGAGAACGAAACATTCTTTATAAGGGTGTGGAAACCTCTTCCTAACAGGCGTGTTTTAAAATCTTGAGAGGAAGCCCTTGAAGGGAAAGCCCAAAGAGGACAATATCTACTAGCGGTGGGTTTGGGCTGTTACAAATAGTATTAGAGCCAGACACCAAGTGGTGTGTCAGCAATGACGCTAGGCCTCCAAGGGGGTGGATTGTGAGATCCCACATTGGTTGGAGAGGGGAACAAAGCATTCCTTATATAAGGGTGTGGAAACCTCTCCCTAACAGAAGCCTCATAAAACCTCGAGGGGAAGCCCTTGAAGGGAAAGTCTAAAGAAGACAATATCTGCTAGTGGTGGGTTTAGGTTGTTACAAATGGTATCAGAGCCAGACACTAAGCAGTGTGGTAGCAGGGACGCTAGGCCTCAAAGGGGGTGGATTGTGAGATCCCACATCGGTTGGAAGAGTGTAGAAACCTCTCCCTAACAAACACGTTTTAAAAACCTCGAGGGGAAGCCCTTAAAGAAAAAGCTCAAAGAGGACAATATCTAGCCGTGGGCTTTGAGCCGTTACAAATAACTCTCTTTTCCAAGCTAGATTGTTTGACATATCATTGGCACAATCAGTACATGGTAGGGGCTATGTACAAGAGGGCATGTCCCAACAGCGATATTTCTCAACAATTCAGAGTACGGGGAATGGATTGGAAGGCGGAAGAACCAAGCCCAGAATGTTCATAGTTTCAAAGTCAAAACACCAAAATCTTCAAAATAATTATAACAAGCTACAGAATCTGTGCAGAAAACACACTGTGATCCTCATTAATTAACAAATGTAAAGCCACAAAAATTGACATTCGAAATTCATCAGCCACTAAAACAGCCTACCCACTAACAAAAAGACAGAAACAAAGCACTTGGAGAGAAGTTCATGAAAATTCCAGCCGTATTTACAGTGATCATCAAAAAAAACATCTCCAAAACGAACATATTTTCTTACACAGTACAGTAACACATCATCTAGATAAGTAGATAAAGATGAACATGAACAAAACACAAAATTGAGATGATCAGGGAAAAAGAGTTCCTAAGAAGAAGATAAAAAGCAAGATGATGAAGAGAGCAAGGGGTTAAGGTTTGGTTGCCGAACCTCGAAACTTCACCACTTTGTAATAGCAGAAAAGGGTCAATCACGATACCCAGAAGCCAAAAGCTTAAGAAAGGGACTAAAATTTGGGATCATCACAACTTGGATTTCGGAGGCCCAATGGAGGAATGAATACAGAGACGGAAAATTGAAGAGGAGAGAGAGAAGAGAGAGAAATTCCTGCCACGTGTTAATACAAGAGAAAATGGAAAATCCTATTATCCTCTACAATTTTGGCTTACCAACTTATGCTTAACCTCAATTATAGAGAATTAATGTAGGATTAAACTTTTATATTAACTCATTTTCTTTTAATACGGAGTGTAGTACGTCTCGATAGTATTTTAATTTGATCATAGATTTTCAGTTAATTATTAACAAAATTTAATGTAAAAAAATAGACGCTTTGCAAATAAAAAATATTATTTTAAATCAAACAAATTGTCACACCAGCAATAATTAATGAAAAATTGACTACAAAGAACACTATACTGTCCAAAGTGGCCCACTTATGTCTTTTGCTTGTATCTCTAGATCATATGTTGACATGATTATCGTTAATTGGTTAAAGATAATATAACTTCGACTAAAAGATGAGAGGTTTAAATTTTCACGTCCGTTCAACTAAAAAATGTTATATGGAAATAAAACATGAACCAGAAAATTTGAGAGAAAATTTCCATGATGTTCCATATTTCCTTTGGTCTCTTTGCTTGGCTTCATCACAGTTATAACTGAACCGCTGAGGCATGGTATAATCATAACTCTTCATGCTAATGTCACAACAAGGTTAATAACAACACATACGATCTCTTGTGAAATCTAAGCAATTTGTAGCATGCGATCTACTGAAAACCGAAGATCGATTTGGGTATTCGAGAATGTACACATTCCATGCCATCACTCAGCTGCCTGGAAATTTCCAAAGTCGTCATCAGGTAAATCAAGTGTGCTTTGACCTTCAGCATCATTGGAGTCTTCTCTTGCTGGTTCTGCAATCTTGTGCTTGGAAGGATCGTCCAGATTGATATTTGGTGGTACATTCGTAGGAGACTTCTGGGCTGCAACAGGTGAAAGAAGAGCTGGAGGTGGTGGAGGTGGTTTGATGCAAAAAATGGACTCTTTTTTTGTGTTGCCCTCTTCTTCTGGTGGGGAAACTTTCACATCTAGCTCAGAAGGCTTCTTGATGTTGCTAGTGCTTTTCTGTTGGTAACAAAAAAGAACGTGTAAAGATGAGATTAATCACAATGAAACAACCAATGTGTGGAAGCAGATATCAACGCAAAGAAAATCAGCCTACTTTGCTTTTGAATTGAAGTACTATTGTCTCGCCATCTTTCAGACTGTAATCAACTGAGGATGTTTTCTGGAACTGTTGTTCCATCTCTTCTGCACTCTTCTTTTTATTGAGATATCTTTCGTCAAAAAAGTTTGTAAAAAGTGCATTAGATTTACTAATGGTAGACCATATCATCACAAAAGGATGCTATTATAATTCAACTTCACAAGAAAATTCTATTTGAAAATGGAATAATTGCAGAGTAGAAGGTAGGGTACTTCATATGATCATGCAAAGCTGCTTGGAAGTCATAAGCCTCAGTTCTTTCTCGAAACCCTATGCCGATAAATGCGTGCCGAAGGCGACCACCTGCATATATATACATATATTTCTTTCACATTAATTAATTATTCAATCCAAATTGATTCTGTTCTACAGTCTCCATTTCCCCCCCTGTACCTCTACTGTTCTATCGTCAAGAAATTAAGTGTTAGCTGGTCGCATGTTTCACAAATAAATACCCCATTGCACCCATTTCAGCGCCACTCAAGCAAGAATGTAGACAGAAAACTTTACGGGAAAGAATTACTTCATTGAAACATTTAGTGATATTCTTTTATGTTATTTCATGACACTTCACCACATATAGCTTCATTAAACAAAACATAAGATCAAGTGAGATGGGGGAGGGGGCCAAAAACTGAAAATTACACAGAAAAGTGATCCAGATACTGTACTATAACGAGATAATTAAAAGAATATGGGAAAATGTGGGCAAGAGAAACGGTCATCTCACCAATATTCTCTTCTATGCGAAGAACAAAATATCTGCAATAGTTGAGCATTATATCAGGCACCTTCAAATATAGCATTAAAACAAGATAAAGTTGGTATATCGATTAGACTTCAATTAAAAATGAAACCAACCTGCTGCTATCAATTACAGTTTCAACTGGATGCTGTTCCCCTTCTCTCAAGAATGCCCGGGCATATAATTCACCTATTATAATAATAAACAGCTTATTAGTCTTTAGAAACACCAAATATACCTCATCTGCAATAATATAATTCACCTACCTTTTAATACTACCAATCCACAATGCTTGTTTTGTAGCAACTAACTATAAGAGATGATCTCACCTGTAGCCTTATCTTCAAGTCTGATAATGCATTCTTCTCCCTTGCTAAGGACTTTCAGTTTTCCCTCCCAGGCCCATTTATTCACATCCCATTCATCAGCCCTTAAGGTAACCAGAGCACAAGTGGAAAACTAAGTTATTATGGGCGACTATATAGTGGATTTTCATAACTAAGTCATAGATGGCAAACATACATAGTGGATTTTTTTTGGATAGGAGCATATGTAGTGGATTTTTAAGACATTAAACATGACATGTAGCATTTTCCCATTATTCAATGTTTGAACAGCTACTGAGTGGGCATAGAGCTCTTCAAAGATAAGTGCACGTCTTGGGAGATATTTTTAGATCTAGCTAAATTTCAGGCATCTCGTTGGTGTGTACTTCCAAATTCTTTTAGCAATTATACTCAATATTAACTTAAATTGGAATTATAAGTCACCAGCAGACACATTTATGTTGGAAAACTAAATAATGAAATCACCAAATTGATCTAGGGGACATAAAATTAGTCAACAACAAGGCTTCTGTACGACATCGAGATCATATTGCAATTCACACTATTATCCATTGTAAATCAAGGGAAAAACCTGTAGGAAGCTGCACTTTTTCTTGGCGGTATCTGCAGGAAATCATTAGAAAAGACAATAAGGTTTACTAGAAAAAATTAACGGGTAAGTTGAAGACAGAAAATAACCAACAGAACCTAATATTATCGTACACACGAAACTATCTTGTTGTATTTGTACAGAAAAAACAGCTGATACATAACATTAGTTTTCTCGCATTATTCATATGAACATTATCCCACCAAGAGGCCAAATGTGGATGCAGAAACGCGGCACCACAAATTACACGCACCAACAAGTTATCAAACAGTAGCAACATACATGTTAATTACTAAGATATCTCAATTGCATGATTTAAAAATGTAGAATAGGACGTAAGAAAATGAAGAAAAAAAGCCAAACATGATATCAGCAATTCCCAACAGTATATAATCAACTATGGTGCAAACAACTACTTCACATTTGGCTAATCACAAAAGAAGTCCACAGAAAGCTCAGATTTCTGCATCAGAACTAAAAACTTGCATAATTTACTCACCAAATAGACATAACATTCAGAAACTTGAAAGAGAACAAGCTCAATTGCTTCATTCTCTTCGTGATCCTCTTGGAGTTTTTGATCCTTCGCCGTCTTCTGCTGCTTCTCCTCCTCCATGGAGAAATAAGAAAGAGATTCGAGAGATCGTGAGATCAAAATCGAGATCGGAGAAATACGGTCAGCAATCCGTTGAAACCAAAGCCGGAATTGAGAAAATCGAAATGAATATGGAAATTTCAGGTGAATTGAAAATGAGCTGAGTTATTGGATGTGAAAACTGGTAGCCTGGAGAAACAACTCGCTTTCAGTTGCCCTCTCCGCTTCAAAGAAGATTGAAGGTCCGGACATAGACGAAGTAACCCGTAATCCTCTGCGCCGGTTCCAATTGCAACCGTATTGTTATAACAAACTTCAACCGTTCGATTCGATGTCTAACCATCCTAGGCTTATTATGGGGAGACAGAAGTCTGATCAATTGACGGCCTTGATGAAGAGGAATTCTTTTTAATATTTAATTGTAGTTCGGATAATTCATATTCTGGTCTTGAGTGGATTGGAAGATACTTAATTGGGTAACAATAATTATATATATAGCAAAATTAGTGGATCGGAATATATCTTGTGGACACAATATCTACTAGCGGTGGGCTTGATTGATTTGTTACATCAAGTCGTGAGTGCTTTGCCAACAAATTTTACAGCTCAGTTTGGTTCGATGTTGACTGAGCATGCAGTCCAATTTCGATTCGACTTTGAAATCGAGTTCCATAGAACAGTTTCCTGCCAGTATTTTCAAACTCAAACTCGAACTCAATCACAGTCTTCATTCATTCTTAACATATGGGACAACTAAAAGCCTTCTTAAACCATCTTTAATGAAAATCTAACTTTCATTAGATTCTCAGACCAGAAAGACATGTCACATGAATCAGACAAGTAAGTAATATGAAGACTGAAGCTCATTCAAACATGTATGGTACAAAATTGTCTAAACGGACGAAGTTTTCAATACCGATCAAAGTGGAACGGTTGCTGTTATTGTAACATGTCTCGGGTCCGTGAGTCTCGATGTCACATTCACAAATCCAACTTGGCTCATTTTTTCTTCCAAATCAGTAAGATGATACTCATCCAGATGAGGTTCTGTGCTTTTTAATAAGGTAAAAAGTACTGGAGACAGTTCCTGCAAACATATCCAAATTCATCAAGATTTCATAAGCTTTGTTAGTTACATTTTTACTCTTGTGGTATCAAATCATACCTGAACGGCCTTTGATTTTGACTGCACAAGACATAGAATGCATTATATTAGATATGTTATATGGCAATGAGTTGTTCATATTCATATCAAGACTTAGCTGCATAGACAACTTACAGCTTGGTCAGTGATTACAATTGTGCCACCGGGTCGAAGAAGCCGAAACGATTCCTTGAGGATATTGACTATTGCTACTTGGGGACATTCATGGAACTAAATTATCATAGACAAGAATCATCACGGTCACTATTAAGCAACTTTACACGTTATCAGATAATACAGCTCTCCTTTCACAACATCTTTTAGTATTTAAAACTTAGCTTCGATTTTGAAAACGTTTTAGTTTTAGTTTTAGAATTTGATTGGTGTGAGATCCGGTTGGAGAGGGGAACAAAACATTCCTTACAAGGGTGTGAAAACCTCTCTCCAGTAGACGCATTTTAAAACCTTGGGGGGAAGCCCAGAAGAGAAAGCCCAAAGAGGACAATATCGGTTAGCAGTGGACTTGAGCTGTTACAAATAGTATCAGAGCCCGATACTGAGCATTGTGCCAACGAGGACATTGAGCCTCCAAAAGGATGGATTGTGAGATCTCACATTGGTTGGAGAGGGGAACAAAACATTCCTTGTAAGGGTGTGGAAACCTCTCCTTAGAAGACACATTTTAAAACCTTGAGGGGAAGCCCAAAAGGGAAAGCCCAAAGTGGACAATATCTGCTAGCGGTGGACTTGGGCTGTGACAAATGGTACCAAAGTCAGACGTCGGGCACTGTGCCAACAAGGATACTGGACACCCAAGAGGGGTGGATTGTGAGATCTCATATCGGTTGGAGAGGGGAACAAAGCATTCCTTATAAAGATATGGAAACATCTCCCTAGTAGACGCGTTTTAAAACCTTGAGGGGAAACCCAAAAAAGAAAGCTCAAAGAGAACAATATCTGCTAGTGGTGGACTTAGGCGGTTACGGTTGGGTTCTTATAACCTTTATCGTTCCAAGACATTTGGTACCAGTTCAAGATTGTAGTTGTGAACCATCTCAAAATCTCTCCTCTAGGGGAAAAAACCTCGGGACATGATTAGATCAAAGAAGAGTTCTTACCAGATAAGCAATGGAAAGTAGGTCAAAAGATCTTGAAGGCAAGCCAGTTTCTTCTCCATTTCCATGCAACCATCTTATTGCATTCTTTCTTGGAGCTCTTTTCTTGTCCATGTATTGAGCCACCGCAAGGAAGTAAGGAGACAAATCAAGCCCCTATAGCAAACGAATCAAACATAAAACACCGACACAAACTGAATTTCATTAGGGAAGCTAAAAGGGAGCAAATTTTACTCACTGTCACTTTAGCTGTCGGAAACTTATCAGCTAGCTGCCTTGTACCAAAGCCTACAGAACAGCCAATGTCAAGAATGTCTAGAATAGGATTCTTTGAGTACTGCAGATGATGCTCCTCAATGGTACGCAGCCAGTTTCCAAATACTACTTTCTTGGCTTCATCTACTGAAGTGGCGGTGGGTACCGCTCGCATGATCATGGACATGGTTGCCGGCTCTGCTTCTGCTGCAGCCTACAAGGCACACATATATGACTTATAAACTTTTGTTGAACGTATGGAAGTCTGTCAAATTGCTGCATGGGGTGACTACTTACAAGCCATGAGAGATTGCCCTCGTCATATGCATGGAAGGGCTTTAGGTAATCTGTTCATCATAAGCCATTTTCTGATTAGTTAAAGAACAAGTTTTATGTTTTGGAAGTATATAGACCAGCTTGTGAGATTGAACTTAAAAGGGGATTGGATTTTCAGCCAAGCTAAATCTTAGGCATCCGACCCGGATTGAACAAACCGTTCGTAGAATAACCGTTTGTAGAATGAGCTTAGATAGCATGTAATAGCCTAAACTATTGCTAAGAGATATTGTCGTCTTTGGACTTTTCCTTTCGGGTTTTCCCTCAAGATTTTAAAACGCGTCCATTGGGGAGAGGTTTCCACGTCCTTATAAGGAATGCTTCGCTTCCCTCTCCAACAAATATGAGATCTCATAATACACCCCCTCAGGAGCTTAGCGTCTTCGCTGGCACACTGTCTGGTGCTTAGCTCTAATATCATTTGTAACAGCCCAAGCCCACCACAAACATATATATGTCCTTTTTTTAGCTTTCCCTTCCAGGCTACCCTGCGTCCTCTAGGAAGAGGTTTCCACGTCTTTGTAAGGAATGGTTTGTTCCCCTCTCCAACCAATGTGAGATCTCACAATCCACCCCTTTGAGGCTCGATGTCTAACTTTGATATCATTTGTAACAGTTCAAACCTACCGCTACTAGATATTGTCTTCTTTGGACTTTCCCTTTTAGACTTCCCCTCAACGTTCTAAAATATGCACACTAAGGAGAGGTTTTCACATCCTTATAAGGAATGCTTCAAATTTGGGCTATTACAAATGGTATCAGAGCTAAATACCGAACAGTGAGCCAGCGAGAACGCTGAGCCCCTAAGGTGGTGAATTATGAGATCCCACATTTGTTGGATAGGAGAACGAAACATTTCTTAGAAGGGTGTGAAAACCTCTCCAATGAAGCTAACGGCAATACGTAACGGACCAAAGCATATAATATCGACTAGCAGGAGACTTGGGTGGCTGTTACATATCATCTATGTTCTTATGACACCTTATGAAACTCAAATCGACTAAAACTGGTTAAATGCAATGAAATAGCAATGTGAAGAACTTGGGAACTTACAATCGGGATAGACAATGGAGAGATTTTGAACGCTCTCGAGCTCCTTGTAGACGTCAGACTCCAGAATATCGGAACTAATCTTCCGCCATGGAATGTTCTTCTTCTCCGCTGTACTGCTCCAATCCACAACCATAAACAAACAAACAAAAACCCAAAACCAAAAATCACTTTGCCAAAAGAAGTGTACACAAAGTAGACCTGATGAACACTTGTCTGGCGCCGAGCTTAAGAATGGAATAGACGGGTTTGAAGGAAATTAGGGCACCGACAAGCCGTGACAAAGGGGTCTCTCCAGCCCAATTGGGCCGCTCCAATTGCCCCTCCTCGAACACCGCCACTTCAGAGCTCGTCGATGCCTGAGCTTTTATGAATCCCCTTCTGGTTCTACATAGTCGTCCTGTTTTCTGCTGCCCCTTGCCGGAGATTAATGCGAGCTGGTGGCTCGGTCCGCACAATGCCATTGACGCTAACTAACTGAATCACCACTCTCGCTCGCGCATATTCGGAAGGAGAAGAAGAAGAAATTCCCCGCCATCCCCGTATCTCTCGTCATTTAACCATCCTATTATATGATGACACGTGGATATTAATAAGATTGTCTTATCCCTTCTATTACAGAAAATGGTCGATATTTTAATATTTTCTCTGGTTATTATTTTTTAAGCTATTGGGCTTGCGAAGTTACTTTGGGCCAGAAAAAAGCGCACTGAAATTATTCTGGGCCTCAGCCACCTGTCCATTTTTAAGCAAAATAATAATAATCAATCATTATTAGTACCGAACTTTGATAAAGATAACAGCTTATCCTTTAAATTTTAAAAATAACTCTTATATGTTAAAGTTTCGCACCTTTAAGGGGTAGATTGTGAGATCTCCATATCGGTTGGAGAGGATAACAAAGTATTATTTATAAAGGTATGGAAACCTCTCCCTAGTAGATACGTTTTAAAATTGTGAGACTAACGACGATACGTAACGGGTCAAAACGGACAATATCTAATAGCAGTAAGCTTAAATTAAACTAGAGTCTTGACCATCGTCGTTGAATCAAAAGTTCTCAAGACATATGAATCAGATGACCAGACAGGATATCACAAGATACGCTAAAAATGAAAAAGATACCATTTTGACGAATATTCAGAAATAAATTCAAGAGGGGCATATTTGTATATAATCTATGGAGTCACTCGTGCAATTTGAACATCACCAAGAACATTGTTAAAATACTTTTACAAGTAGGTTTTGTTAAAAACATAAAGAAACAAAAGATCATGGAGTACCCTCAGGTACGTACCAAGTACTTCTAGTCAAGCTTGGAAGTCTTAACATCAAAACTTTCATCTATGGAGTAACTTTCCCCCGTTGAGCGATGACCCCTCCACTTGGCACCATCAGATCACTAGGGCTAACTTCAACCCCAGCTCGAATCCCGGATCCTTCTCAATGCATAAGTGAGGCTTAGCAATATCCAACTCACTTATCCTGTTGACTTCCCAAGAGATGCAAAAACCAGTAAAAAGAAATCATATGCTCACCAGAAATCGCCCATGGAAGACGAGCTCGATGAACCGAGCAGCGAAATTCGCCGTCTCTTGTTTGGAAACGCCATAAACGAGAACTCTTGTGGATCAGAGAAGTTGTTTAGAACAGATTTGATGGCTTGGTGCACGGAGGTCTGCAATTCAGTAGTTTCAATATCTCCATCTTTGCAGCTGGTTAACACCAACACGTTCTGCATCCTGCCATTTAAGGTTCCAATCTCCGCCCTCTTTATTATCAGGTCTAGAGCATGAAGTGCCCGTCTTAAATCGGGTAGGAGGCCGGGTTTATAATCACAACATAGCGACGCTCGAATCGAATACGAAACGCCGTCGAATTCATCCTCCTGGTGTTCAACTGTTATTTCATCGATTTCTTTTGGTATAATATGGGCATCACTAACTTCTGCAGCAGCTCTTTTCAGCACTTTCAGATGGCTTATTACTTCAGCTAGCAGTGTTGCTTTGTCCATCTGGTCATTGAACACACAGAAAGTCAGGGTGACGATACTCGTGGCAAGCATTCATAAGAGTTCAATGGTATGATATTGTCCACTTTGGGTATAAGCTCTCGTGACTTCATTTTTTATTTCCTCTAAAGGTCTTATACCAATGGAGACTTATTTCTTACCTATAAACTCATGGTCAACCCCTTAATTAGCCGATGTGGGACTCCTCTCCCCTCGAACAAAGTACACAATAGAGCCTCCCCTGAAGCCTATGGAGCCCTCAAACAGCCTCCCTTTCATCGAGGCTTGACTCATTCTCTAGAGCCCTTGAACAAAGTACACCCTTTGTTTTTACACACTTGAGTCACTTTTAACTACATCTTTGAGGCTCACAACTTCTTTGTTCGACATTTTGAGGATTCTATTATCATAGCTAAGTTAAGGGCATGACTCTGATACCATGTTAGAAACCACCGGTCTCCACAATGGTATGATGTCGTTCACTTTGAGTATAATCTCTCATGACTTTATTTTTTAGTTTCCTCAGAAGGTCTCATACTAATGGAGATGTATTTCTTACCTAACCCATGATCAACCCCTTAATTAGCCAATGTGGGAATCCTCGAAACCCATGATCAACTCCTTAATTAGTCGATGTGGGACTCCTCAAAACCCATGGTCAACTCTTTAATTAGTCGATGTGGGGCTCCTCGAAACCCATGTTCAACTCCTTAATTAGTCGATGTGGGACTCCTCGAAACCCATGTTCAACTCCTTAATTAGTCGATGTGGGACTCCTCGAAACCCATGATCAACTCCTTACTTAGCCAATGTGGGACTTTTCTAAACTCATGATCAACCCCTTAATTAGCCAATGTGGGACTCCTCTAAACCCACGATCAATCCCTTAATTACCTGATGTGGGACTCCTCTCCCAACGATCCTCAACCAAAAAGACAAACAACATCATGGAAGAGTTACTACAAATTAAGTAAGGCAAATTGAGAAGTAACTTAACAGATGCCTTCAGTGAGATGATGTCTTCACCACTCATGAACAGGAAAATTCATTCATACAATTTAGAGTCAAATGGTTGACATCTTATACTCATATAGCGATCACTGATCATGTCAGCCAACACCAAAACAAGCAAGCAATATGAATGAACAAACAAAAGTTTAAATGAATTTCACCATTTCTAGAGCAAACCAGGCATAAACAACCCTACAAGCATATCCTAATCAGGACATTTGAGACGTCCTTACCATAAACAGAGTCTTGGAGCTATATTAATGAAGACAAAAGTAAAACCCCAAATTCAAAATGAACACAAACTGAAACAGAGCTCAATCAAAATCCCTAATAACCAAAAATGGCAGAAAAACAAAAACACCCACCTTCTTACCACCGGGGACGAGACTTCTTAGACTCCCAAGATGACCATTGATTCTTGCTCTACGCCTTCTCTCAGCCTCGCTGTGGTTCTTCAGCGCCGCCGCGCTCCTCTCAGCCGGAACCCCTTTACTCTCAAGCTTCAATGGTGCCTCGATGAGCTCATCTCTCTCACTATCGAGCACCAATGAAGAAGTTGAGGCCGACCCATTTCTCATCGCAGCAGAGTTAGCGCAAACCCCATCGTAAGAGCAAATCCGCGAGAACTGACCCATGGGAGACACTGCCCGGAAAGGAAATTGAAAGGGCTGAAGGAGATCAAATGGGTGATTTCAGAAATGGAAAAATTAGAAGCGGAAGGCCGACATTGTCGTCTTGGTTACAGAATTGAGTGGCGAACAGAGAGAACTTGACGGCGCGTCAATGGCGAGCGAGTCAGCACCCAATGCGGCGGAGAGTCCTTCTCGGAGTCACAATCCGAGTCTCTGGTAGTCTTTGTGTGATTCAACGGCGGAAGCCATTGATAATGTCAGCAAATAAATGATGAGATCGCCTCACTTTGAAGCACAAATTTTTTCTTTTAATTTTTTTTTAATGCAATTCATATATTTTATTTATTTTTATTTCCAATCAAGGATAAGGTTAAAACTTTTCCTAAAAATAATCTCTCGTTTATTTTTTATTAAAAAATAAATTAAGCATATATTTATAAAAATAAAATATAAATTTATTAATTTTTAATTTTTAATTTAGAATTTGATTTGTTTAATTAAGCTTTAATTTCTCGAGATGGGTGACGGGTCACATTAGTTGAATCCGATTTGGCATTTAGTAAAGGTATGGATAATTTTAAGTTATTAAAAGGACAAAAGCTTAGGGGTGACTCGTGACTTTACAATAATAAATTAAATAAATTATCATTAAGATTTTGGATTTGTTTTAATCAAACAATTAATTTCGCTAATCTTTTTTTCTAACTTTATTTATTTAAATAATTTAAAAGATTTCTCCCCACTTTTAAGAAAAAGTTTGGCTACCGAATATTCCCACTCAATTAAAACTTTTTATTTATTGATTTTGAATTAAAACCCACTTTATTAATGACAAGTATGAATTAATATTATTAATTTAAATCAATTTTATTTTTATATAACTTTTTTAGAAATATTCATCATTTTACCAATATTTTTATAAAATATTTTAAACTTTGGTTATATACATAATTTTAATCTCTCTCTAGCAAACGTGTTTTAAAATTGTGAGACTGAGGGAGACATGTAACGAGTTAAAACAGACAATATCTATTAGCTGTTACAAATGGCATCAGAGTCAGGGTGGTGTGCCAACGAGAACGTTGGGGCTCAATGGAGGTGGATTGTGAGATCCCACATCGGTTGGAGTGGGGAATGAAGCATTCATTATAAGGGTGTGGAAACCTCTCTCTAGCGAGCGTGTTTTAAAATCGTAAGGCTGACAGTTATACGTAACGGATCAAAGCGAATAATATCTACTAGCAATTGAGTCTGGGCTGTTACAAATGGTATCAGAGCCAGGCCGGTGTGCCAGTGAGGACGCTAGCCCCAACGGGGATGGATTGTTAGATCCCACATCGGTTGGAGGAAGAAACGAAACATTCTTTATAAGGGTGTGAAAGCCTCTCCCTAGCGAGCGTGTTTTAAAACCATAAGGCTGACAGCTATACGTAACGGGCCAAAACGAACAATATCTACTATCAATGAGTCTGGACTGTTATAAATGGTATTAGAGCCAGACACAGGGCAGTGTGCCAATGAGAACGCTGGCCCCAACGGAGGTGGATTGTGAGATCCCACGTCGATTGAAGAAAGAAACGAGCATTCGTTATAAGGGTGTGGAAACCTCTCCCTAGTAAAATCTTTTTAAAACCGTGATACATAACAAGCAAAAACATACCATATCTACTGACAGTGGACTTAGGCCGATACAAATGAGTAAATTCTTAAGAATTTCGACTCCAAAGTTAAATAGACATCTCTAAATGAAACTAACGCTCTTTAAAACGACCGAGGATCATGATATTACGTCCCAATTCATGTTGAAATTATACATACTTCATCAAGAAGACATAGATATATAAAAATTTGAGATTCTTTTTGAAAAGACTATCCTTTAGAAACCATTTTATTCATCATACGTATGAAATTTGAGAAGAAAAAAGCAGCAACGATACGAAGCATCACTGGCCAGCAGCGAAGGCCTCGACAGGGAAGGTCTTGGTGACGCCGGCGAGGCTCTTGAAGTGAATCTTGCCAGTGGGGGGATCATCGAGGTAGATATCATTAACAGGCGGCCACAGCAGGAACTCCTTAGCCTTAACGCCCTTAAGCTTCTTAATCCGCTTCTTCAAAATAAACCCAGTGATCTCCGCATCATAGCTCACCAACTTGCTCACCATTTTGAAGTGGTGCTCCACCTTCTTCCGCTGCACGATCCACACGTACCCAGTGTCCTTGACGTAGCCGACTTCCTCGACGTCGGCCAAGGGGAGCAGCCCCTCCGGCAGCTCGAAGTCCTTCAGAAGGGCGAGTGCAAGGCCCAGGCCTTCCTCGTGGCCGTGTTTCACGATCCCACCTTCCTTCGGGTCCGCCATGGGTTGAGATAGAGAGGAGAGGGATGGGGTTTTATAGTGTGTGGGGGGTTTGGTTTTATGCTGGATTTTGAGTGATGGAATCGATGCGAGTTTGCTTTGTTTCGGTCGCCCAATTCCACGCTTTGTTTGGTTTTGGTCGTTTTCGTTGTTTACCATATGGATGTTGGCAAAAATTTGGATGAAGTTCGTTACAATTAATTGCACCTTGACAATTTGATTCAATGGTTTGGAGCTCATTTTCTCTTAACAAAACTTCACAACCCTACCTTCCCAAAATATAGTTAGATGTCCATTTTATCTATGAAGGCAAGGTATAACGGTGACCGGTATTAAACCAGAAGGATTTTTTGTTTAGCCGAGGGATAGAGAGGAAGTGGAAACATTTTTTAGATGCCCAGCTTAATATAAATATATTTTCAATACATATTAAATATATATATATAATAGGAGTAAGACTCCCCGTTTAATATAAATATATTTTCAACACATATTAAATATATATATAAAATAGGAGTAAGACTACTCGCTTAATATAAATATATTTTCACCTCATATTATATATAATAGGGGTGGACTCCAACCTTAATATAAATATATTTTCTAACCCATATTATATATATATATAATAAATTATTTAATTTGTCCCGCTTAATATAAATATATTTTCAACCCATATTAAATATATATATAAAATAGGAGTAGGATTGGTAATTTAATATAAATATATTTTCAACCCATATTAAAATATATATATATATATATATTTTTTTTTCTATATGAAAATTACTAGCAAATCTAATTATCATAAGACAACCTAATTTAATGTGAAATCTATCCCCTAAATTCTCATCTACATTTTCGTCATATTTTTAAATCAATATTTAATATTATATTGTAAAAATGGGATGAAATATATTTTTAAAAATAAAATATCATGTAAATATGATATAGTACTTATTTATTAATTTAATGATTATATTTTATTTCGTCATTTAAAAGGACGCGGGATGGCGCCTAAGCCAGTCCATTTCATAACAAACTAAAATTTTGCGAGTCCCATTGGCGCGCTAAACAGAACGCACAACGGAGGAGCCATGGAGGATCACCGAAAACAGAACGCAGAACGGCTACGGAAGAAGAGTAATAAGATCTCTCTCGAGGACTACCTCGATTTCTTCTCCTCCGACAAGCAACTATTCCTCCCCGTCGCTTATCTCAATCAGGTTCTGATCTACATTGTTTATTTTTTTGTCCTCACTAATTTCTCTATGACGATCTGTTTGGATTTCGTTTCGAACTACTTGCGTGTTGAGTTTTTAACCGATGCTTCTGTTTAACTCGATGCGCAGATCATTCGCATGCATGGCTACATGAATATCAAAGGTCTGAAGGTGAGTTTGCCGAACCGATACGTTTGTTTAATTTGCTTGGTTGAAAATTAATCATAATAACCTTTGTTTGCATCTCTTACGCAATGTTCACCAATTGGTTTTTAGTTTGAACTTCTTGCTTTGAAAAATTAGAGAACGTTTACTCAAATTGATTGAAATTCCTTATCAATTTTGTTCTATGTTTGGGACTTAATATGGATCCTCTGTTGTGCGTTCCAAATTAGAGAACGTTTACGTAATGTTCTAAATTAATTTAGCATAAAAGAGTGAGAAGAGTCCGGAAAATGAGATTTGAATACGATGCTGCTCAGCAGCTGAAGTAATTTGATGTCTCCTCACTCCGAGTCTAATAGGAACCGATTAATTACATTCACATCCTCTCTCTCTTGCTTAGAATGTAGTGAAGGATGCCGTAGGTACAATTAATCTGGTCAATCTCTCTCGTTCCACACTCAAAGAGAGCATCTCATCATCCGCGTCCATTACGCTTGAGGACGTAATCTCGGACCTCAAAAACCTCGAATGGCAAGAATGCAGTGTGACATCTGTTCTGAATTTCAGTTCCTGGAAGCAGAATAACTCCGATACGAGTCCGGACCGCCAGGAGCCGACTAGTGCCTCAAAGAAGTCAGGAAAGAAATTACGAGTATTGAGTGAACGTTATAGTCAAGAAGTCGAGGAAATTGATGGAGTTTCCTCGTCCTGTGCCTCGAAGAAGCCGGGAAGTGAATCTCAGAGTAAGAGAAAGAAAACAGCTGCTTAAAAGTGGTGAGAAAGATGGTTCACTTCACTTGATTTGGTTCCTTCTTTTTGTTTTCTGTTTTACTGTAATGGAGTTAAATCAAATATGAAACTGTTCCTCAGTGATTTCTTCTTTTTCTGGGCAACAATGGTCGTTTCTGTTATTGTTCTACATTCGCGTCGTTTTGGAGTTTGGACTGGAGTAATCCTTGACTCTTCTGTTTAATCCTTCGACGCACAGCAGCAACAGGTGACTTCTGATCTCTGAATTGCCTTAAAATCTTTCTCGTTCCCTTTTGAAGATAGTCTCAAGATAGGTATTAATAGATAAACCACTGGAAAAATCAGCAACACTGCAATATTGATGTACGGAAATACAGGATGGGCAGCGTTTGGACTCGATAATTAGTTGGACTGTTGGAGGCGGATTTCGCGGAGCTTTTTGTTTCTAGGGATTTCGATTTGGGGTCAGATGATACTAATGGAATGATTATGGGTTTATAAAAAACATGAGTTTATGATCCAGGAATACTCTTTTTATTGTCGGAAGGAAAGCTCAAAGCAAAACTTTACTCAAAGTAGACAATATTGTGAATAGTCATATTCATCTAACAAATCGATTTAGAGGCGTCATAGTTGCCTTCTTTCTATGAGTAGGAAGATTGGAATGGGGTAGCATCGTAATCGTCGCCGGAATGACAATGGCGGTGGTGAACGCCTGAGTTTTCGCGCCATCCGAAAGTGAAGCAATTGAGGAAAGAAATGAGGATGAGGGCTCCGTAAAGAATTTGGAGGAGAAAAGAAACGGTCTGTTCGAGGAAGTGGGAACTACTCGGTGCTTGTGCTTTGATACCGGGAATGAACAGACTTTCGTGTCTGTCGGCCTTTATGGGCTTTGTGGTTTGTTTGGCCCAAACCATTTCTCATATGGCGCCCAATATACTCATCATTCTCCCTGTACGTACAAGATAAAATTTATTCATTCCAATGGGCCATGATAAAACCTTTTTGTGTAGGACGGTAGAGGGGTTCGTCGCCTCAAGAGAGTGACGACTAGCATTGGCCATTTAAAACTTTGATTAGTTGGGAATCGGTGTAAGGCATCCTCAAAAATCTCAAGCACCAGATAAAGTGAGTCATCACCAAAAATCTTAAGAGCCAAGTGATCATCACTTCTATTAGCACTAGAGATGTTAAGAGACCAAGGGGGAAATTTCTAGGAAGATGAAAATATTTGTGTTGTTGGCTATTTTGGGAGACATTAGTACTACTGAAGCTGTGCAGAGAAGAAATCATTGTCTATATTTCTTCTAGTAGGTATTGATGTATGAAGTGAAAAATGGGGAAGTCCTTACCCACCTAACTTGTTTTTTTATGGCTTGTGTGAGATCTCACTAACTGAGAACGTTGAGCCCTAAAGAGCCAATAAGTGTCAGCATTCTCCCTGGCTTGTTATGTCTTAAGGGTGGTAGGCACCGGTCATTGTGCCAGTGAGAACGTTGAGCCCTAAAGAAAATGGATTATAAGATCCTACATCAATTAGAGAGGGACGAAGCATTCTTAATAAAGGTATAGAAACCTCTCTCTAACAAGCTTTTTAAAATTTTGAGGGAAAATCTAAAAATGAAAATATGTCTGGGAAAGATCTTTGGAAAAATTCTAGTCGAGGTTTATTTCATTGGACGGACATAACTTCTTCTGGAACTCTTTTAATTTCTCCATTTCTAGTTGGACTGGGATGCTTTGGTCTCACCACTTGATCATTCCACCAAATTATTATTTTATTCTCTTTTCCTAAATCCTGCAAAGCTAACAATCAGAACTGCCATTTATTGAACAGTTTGTTGAGGACATGGGCTTTTTTGGTGAAGGAGATCTCATTTGTCGATATTTAATATTTCCTTCCTAATTTCAGCTTTGGTGCTGGGCTAATTGGTTCTCTTGTGTACATACGAATGCTGGGGAGTAGTGTGGACTATCTTGTGCCAAACATGACCTTTTCTTAGTACACCCAGATAGACAGAAACAGATAGCAAACACATAAATATTTGGTGATAAGAAAACAGCTGAAATGCACCAACTGATATCATTTGCTGATCAATCTGTGTAGTTTTGAGCTGTCAATTGCTGCCCAACTTGACATACCATGTACCTACAGCACAGAAAGTGGGGTGGGCAAAGGGTCAAATTGAAAGGACAAATAGAATAGAGAAAAGTGAGTAAATTATGATGGCCCCATTTCTTGAATAAATGGCATAATAAGATTCCGTTGTGGCTTTCTTATAGGGATAATCATGGTGTGAAAACAAAAGGGAAATAAGACAAATAGGTGAAGATTTCCACCCTAATGATCAGAACAGACAAATGGCCGTGGTTTTTGGTTCAATCATGTAAAGTGAGTATCAGCTTGGTAATCGCCTCTCCAACTCCCTTTCTTTGCATCCACACTTAAACTTGAAGTAGGGTATTGTGGGTATGGTGGAAGGGGTACCCTCGGTTTCAAGAAAAGGGAAAGGATTTGTCGGCTTTGGCCTGTTACGTATCGCCGTCAACTTTACAGTTTTTAAAACGAGTCTGTTAAGGAGAAGTTTCCACACTCTTATATAAGGAATATTTTGTTCTCCTCTCCAACCGATGTGGGATCTCACAATCCACCCCTTTGGAGGCCAATATCCTCGCTGGCGCACCGTCTAATGTCTGACTCAAGTTTCCACACCTTATAAAGAATACTTTGTTCCCCTCTCCAACCGATGTGAGATCTCACAATTCATCCCCCTTAGGGGCCAGCATCTCCACTGACGCACTACTCAGTATCTGGCTCAAGTTTTCACATCCATATAAGGTGCTCCCCTCTCCAACCGCCATGAGATCTCACAATGAAGTTCGACTACATTATAGAAATTATTTTATTTAGAGAAAATTGGTTTGGATGGAAGAGGCGTAAGTATCTAATTGGATCTTGTTGCTTGTCCTCCCGTTGAGGACGTGGCTACTCAATCAAGGGTTTGATTTCAAGATGATTAATGATTCTCCAAATTTGAAAAGTATAAATATATATATATAGTAGAGATGAAAATAAAAGGAAGAAATGTTTTACAATACTCTCTCATTATCGTATTGGAATATGGAATAGGCTTCCTGATAAGAAATTTGTCCCAAAATTTAAGCACTAAAATGCAAGATTGCAACGAAATAAGGTAAAAGGGGTTTGGTGTAAAAGAGTAAATTAAAAAAAAAATGATAATACAAGTGGCACAAGGCTCTAATTTTATTTTAATTAATATTTATTTATTTATTTAAAAAAAACTAATTTCCATCATCTCTTAATTAATTGGGGTCCATCCTTAATCATGCTTTCTTGACCACTTAGAGAAAATCATATAAATTTCTTTGTTTTTTTAAATTAAAATTGGTAATGGATCACCTTTATTTTTTCCATAAAATTTTAAAAAATATAGCATATTTTGTCTTGATATAAAATTGAAATGAATTTTAATTTTTTATGTGATATATATATATAATGGTTTTTTTTTTAATATAATTAATGTTTTTAGCTCCAACGTATTTAAATTTTAAATCTTTAGAATTATACTTAGTTAAAAGAAGATTTTTTTATCTAGTGATAATATTTACTTTGACTTGTTGTGTGAGTTGGGTCACACAACAAGTGAGAGGAAGTGTTAGACTAATGATATAATTAAACTTACCTGAAATCCTTAATTTGAGCGTTTGGATTGAATTCTATTGGATTTTATGAGTTCGAGAGAGAATTATAGCTATATATACAAAGTCTATGTTGTTAAAGGTGGGTGGGACAGTGTCACAGTTGTATGTGGCCTTATACTGAATGTCTCGATCATACTAGTTTTGGGTGTGTTGTCCATGATCGTATGTCTGTTCCAATTTGCTTTTACTTGCTTTTATGTGTAGCTAGGTCTTTACTATTCCTGTTATATTAATATGGGGTTGTACGACCGTTCAACATAATCATGTCTATATCAATCAGAACTAAAATGTCTCGAAATGTATTAGAAGAGATGTGACCCGTTGTTAATTCTTCCTACATAAATAAGAGAGTGACAACTCATCCCCGTTGATAAAGACAACTCAAATGGAAAACATAAGCCGTTAATTTATATCCATTTAGATACCAAATGGATCTACTTTTCCCACAGATATACACTATAATTTAATCACTTAAATTAATTACCAACTAATCCCACTAATTTGAAACAGTGCATGTAATTACGTATTAATACTAATCACCCAAATCAAATTAAAATACAACAACCCCTTCTTGGCCTCTTCATCTTATTGTGAACTTCTAGACAAAACGTATTCATAATTCTAAACACTATTATGGAATTCTTTTCATTTTTTAAGAGCAAAATAATAATAAAAGAGAGAAAAAGATGAACAAGTCATATGGCCCATAACATGTCTAGTACACTCCATCAAATTATCATTTTCTTCTTTTATGATCAACCAAAGGAAGAAACAAGAACAACCCAACAATGTCAGGTGGCGGAGGATCAAGCAAAGAATATAGAGAAGGATCGTCGAGCTCGGCTCCAACGACCCCAAGTCGATACGAGTCACAGAAACGGCGAGATTGGAACACTTACGGTCAGTACTTGAACAATCAAAGGCCTCCAGTGGCAGTGTCCCAGAGCAACTTCAACCATGTGTTGGAGTTCCTAAGGTACTTGGATCAATTTGGGAAGACAAAAGTTCATGTAGAAGGCTGCATGTTTTATGGGGAGGCAGAGCCGGCAGGCCCTTGTGGCTGTCCGCTGAAGCAAGCTTGGGGCAGCCTTGACGCTCTGATAGGGCGGTTGAGAGCTGCTTATGAAGAGCATGGAGGGTCCCCTGAGAGTAACCCTTTTGCAAGCGCTTCTATAAGGGTTTATCTTAGAGAAGTTAGGGAGTGTCAAGCCAAAGCTAGAGGAATCCCATATAAAAAGAAGAAGAAGAAGACCAACCAATAATACCAATCTTCTTCATCATTTCATCTTTTCTGTTCTTATTGCAGTTCTTGTTAAGTTCCTTTGCTTTCCCTTGTTCTTTCTTTCTTATGAATCATCCATTTCTATTGCTAAATGGAAATTTAACTTGATGGGTTTGATTAAGATTCAATAAAAGGGTCGGGGTCGGTCGAATTTGGGAGCCTCATCGATTTATTGAAACCACCTTAGATATCATACTTTCTTCATTTCAAAAAGACGAACGGACTTTACTTACATAAAAAGGCCGAATTCGGAGGCTTCTCTTTGTATGTTACATGCATGTGGGTATTTTTGAAATGTGAACTCATCGAGTTTGATAACGGTTTAGGTCTCGTTTAATAGTTATTTGATTATTAATTTTTTTATTTTTGGTTTTTGAGTATTGAAATTTGGGTGTTTTGTTTTTCC